AATGTTTACTTCTTCCTCTGTAAATAATACTCCTATGCAAATAATGATCGACACCGGAGCAACTAACACACTTATAACACAACAAGCACTTTCTTCTACTCGCCATAAGAAATATCTTAGCAATTATTCGTGGAAATTATATCAGGCAGATGGGCAAACATCCCTGGAAGTCCTCGGAGTCGTCCAACTTCAAATCAAAATTAACTCAACGACTACAGATATATCTGCCTACGTCTGGATCCGTTTATCACACATTAGGTGATGCACGAAAAGGATTAGAATACTTAGAACAAGCATTAGAGATGAGACGAGATTTATATAAAGGAAGTCATCCAGATGTTGCAGGGTCGTTGAATAATGTTGGATCCGTTTATGATACATTAGGTGATGTAAGAAAAGGATTAGAATATAAAGTACAAACATTAGAAATGTATCGAAATTTATATAAAGAAAGTCATCCCGATGTTGCAAAGTCAATGATTAATATTGGAATGAGTTATGAACGAAAGGATTAGATAATTAGATGGAAGAGAAGTATTAAATAATAATCGAAATACTGAGCAGAAAAGTCCTATAAAGTATATTTTTATGAATTTAACTAAATTCACTTATTGTTCCAAGCTTTCAGTGTCTTCAGACACCATTTCCAAGGAAGCAAATGAAAGAGAAGAAAAAATACAATCGAAAAGGAGCAAGAATGTTTTTTTGTTCACATATTTTCTTTATCTCTGTAAAATAGAAGTAAGAAACATTCTTCTCTTTCATTTGCTGAAAGCTGAAAGCTACACTGAAAGCCTGGAACAATAAGCGAATTTAGTTAAATTCATAAAAATGTACTTTATAGGAGTTTTCTACTCAGTATTTCGAAAGGATTAGATTACTTAGAACAAGCTTTTAATATGTTTAAAGACTTGTATGGCATAAACCATCCAAAAGTTGTTTCGTTGTTAAATAATATATTAAATATTAGGAGATCAGAAGGGATTTGAATATTTTGATCTAACATTTGTAATGGGATGGGCTCTGAAAGAGATTGAAAGATAGATTAATATTGAATGATTTATCGGTCGTTTTAGTATTACTCTGAGATTTATTCCATATTACAAAATTGTTTTGCGTCTGTATTCTGCTCAAACAGTAATACCATTAGATTGAATCACAACTCCTGAGAGTAATGCAAAAATGCAATTGTATGGTGTTATATGGCTTTGAGCTTCCTAATGCAAGCAGAAAAGGTTTTGACGTGAACTTTCTGGCAGTCACATTTGTTATAAAATAAAAACTGGATAAATGGCTCTAAAGAGTTAGAGCGAATTTAATTGAATGAGTGCTAATAGCACTCATTCAATTTTGACCTATTAACGCGCAACTCTTGATTCGTGATAATGCTGCTAAAATGTTCTTAAATTTGAATTAATTAAGAAATGAAAAGACCTTCGGACGCCTGGTAACTGTTAGAGTCTCAAAAGTCTTTTTAAGGCATAATGACCCATTAAAATTTCTCACACATGACGGTTGATGCGAAAAGTACAGCGTTCGAATACCTTCAGTTCACATAACCTGAAAGAACATATTGCAAGTATTTAATCGTGTAGAGCCTTAAAACATGCCACATGCCTAAACAGCGAAAATTTCTTCTTATTAATGCCTACTAACACTCTAAAAAAATATGGCTTCTAGGAAGACGCTGAAGTCGGCTCTGATTTTAGTCACATAATATAATTGTGCCTATTTCATATTGAGTCGAAGTAAAAAATCATTTTTGCTACCGCCTTACAGATTTGACTGAAACTGTGCATATCGTGTTTGTATATCTATTACTTTATTAATTTGCTTGAAAGAGTTATCGTCACTCCTTTATTGTTGAAACAATCTAGTGTGATATCGCATAAAATATTTAGCGTTGCTATTAACGCTGTTGACACTGAGTGGAAAGAAATAAAGACATGTAATATACGGGATAGGTTAATACATACAACTTAGAAAGGAGTTCTTTCTAAACAATCTACCGCGGCTTCCGACTTCGTACATTAATATTCACCCTTACGCTTTTTCTTACCTATAATGAGTTAGAGTCCAGTACATGATAGTTGTGAATATACGAATTTACGGGAATGATTATTTTGTAAAAGAAGAAGTATTGACCAAAGATACCAGACACATGTCTATTAGTACCCAATTCGACATCAGGTGGATGTGCAATGCCCGTTTGATGTTTATTTAAGTGTATTGATGCTTGTGTAATTTCAATTTCAGACTGACTGATTTCTTTAATGTCTTCTGATAGTTGGATGGTTGGACGCAACCACACTTTGCACTCATTATCCGTTTACTACATTTACTGACAGAATGCTGTCAACCGAGAAGTTTCCTAACATGGTTAACGCGAGTTTTCGTCCCATTCGAATAACAGAACGGTGAGATGCTACGTAACTCGATATTATCAAAAATATAAGGCGATTGCAAAATAGAGTTATACAAAGAGCTTTTTTAATATATTAGCCGTCATTCTGGTTCCTTCAGTGAAGCCATAAAGTTTAAGTTTGATAAGCATCCGAAAATCTTATGGGTTTAAACTGAAGCTAAAGTTGAGAAAACATTCTTAGTGCTGAAGCGAAGCCTTTTCTAGCCGGTTGTTGAGCGGAGCTGTGGCAGACGAAAATTTTTTATCGTGAGACTATAGTTGGGAAAACGTTGCCTCCTTCCTTTTTAGTCCTTTTCCCGGTAGAGAGTGCGTCCTTCTTGGATAAACAGTATACAAAAGAAAGCAATGGATGTCGATTTAATAAATATCATTATGCGATGGAAAAGTGCTGAATCACATCGTGTATCCGAAGCACATCTACCGCAATTGATTCCACTTAAATATATTGATCGTGTTTATATGCCAAAAAATGTATTTGCAGTATTACCGACCAAAACACGAGAATATGCCCAGGAATTATTTAAAAATTTATTAAGAATAACAAAACACACAGTAGATTAGAATTCTACGTTGGTAGAGATACATTTATTAGTGACAACTTTAAGTCAAGCGAAAATGTATAGAATTCTACGTTAGTACAGATATATTGTATATTGACCAAGTTTGAATCAAGCGGAAATGTATAGAATTCTATAGAATTCTACGTTAGCACAGATATATTGCATATTGACCAAGTTTGAGTCAAGCGAAAATGTATAGAATTCTACGTTAGTACAGATATATTGCATATTGACCCAGTTTGAGTCAAGCGGAAATGTATAGAATTCTATAGAATTTTACGTTAGCACAGACATGGATGACTAGTGCCTCACTATCATGCTCCGCACGCCCGGGGGGGGGGGGGGGGGGGGGGGGCAGTATACTTTACCGACTTTAGATCTAAAATCGATGAGATATTTGTTTGTTTTCCTGCTAACGGTACCAATGGCTTTCAGTTGTTTGATACTACAAGTTCTTTTTATTACAGAGTGAACAAAATTCATTCACAAAAACTAAAAACTGTATTACACTTAAACTGCTTCTTCTCACTTATGATCTTTGCATAATTTATTTACTCAGGTTTGACATTCGTTCTAATAGTTTGATGCGCCTTAGAGTATACTAATAAAAAGAAAAAGGTAATCGAATGACGAACAATGAGTCATCCGTGCTAGAATGAAAGAAAGAGAAAATGCACGTTACATTAATAAAATTTATTTATTTCCAGCTAAAATTAATCGATTATTGCCTTCACAACACTTCAAAGTTAGACAGAAAGTGAATTTTTAACACGGCTAGAAGGGAGACAATTTGATAGACAAACATGTGAAAAGAAAATGTATACGTCGATCGAGAATCGAACCGAGGACTCTCTGATAACATGGCAGAAGTTGTAAACATGAAGCTACCGAAGCACGATCTAACCTTAGTGAATGTACTTGAACATAGGTATCCGAGTTAGGTACCCTGCTACAACAATGTCACAGATACTTGCACGTAAAATATTACTTACGAGGAAATATGTCCAACTGTTACCTCGCTTTTGCAGCCAAACCCAGTGGGTTACAGGTAATCGACCACGCTGATTTCGAGTATTAACATGACCACTAGGCCTTCAAAGATCCAGTTTTTCAGAAACTCTAAAAAGAACCAAAATCTTTCTTAACGAGGCATAATTGCGGTGCGCGCATTACTGATTAACATGAGACCTCTCCAAGCCCTACATGACCTTTCTTTGCAAAGTCATAGAATTTACAAGAGAAGCCCTAAATTAATTCCTTCTTATTTCTGTAGCTCTGAGCTGACAATTAACATTTAGGGCTTCTCTTGTAAATTCTATAACTTTGCAAAGAAAGGTCATGTAGAGCTGGGAGAGGTCTCATTTTAATCAGAAATTTTGGGACTGGAATCATGCATCATTAAGAAAGGTTTTGATTCTTTTTAGAGTTTCTGAAAAGCTGTTTTTTCAGAAAACCGGATCTTTGAAGGCCTAGTGGAAGCTCTCATGTTCATACTCAGGATCAGCGTAGTCGATTATCTGTCGATTATCTATACCCACTGGATTTGGCTGAAAAAGCGAGGTAACAATTGGATATGTTTCCTCGTTAGCGGGTACCTAAGCGACCAGTCATTTTAGGTGATCGTGTGAAGATAAATACGCACGTCATTCCTGTAAACATATGTTTGTCTTTCATGTATATCTGACCGCGAAACAAAACGGTGAACGGAAAAAAATCTGGTACCTATACTATGTCCAGCGCATAGGTACCAGATTTTAGAACATACTTAAAAAAAATGCAAGTACTCAGGTACCTATCTTCAAGTATATTCACTAGGAAACATGCACTCTCAGTTCACATTCTAGCCGTGTTAAAATTCTGTTTCTGATTTCATCAAGTTCTGTTTCATAATCTAATTCATCGAATAGATGTTTTTGTTCTATATCAGAAAATAATGATAAAATATTTTTAGATTCAGCACGTTATCAGTATGAGAAGCTATATAAATTTACACATCAGATGTGAATGATTTCTTTTTGAAAGTTTCGAAATTTTTCAGTCTAATATAATGTCATCGTCACCGCCACACACCTAAAAATAAAAATTTGTCGTTTCCTCCCAGCAGAAATTAAAAATGTTTTTCGTTTTTCTTCCGTCGCATGACGAAAAGTTTTTTTCTTACACCTCCTCCCAGAAAATTTTTTCGATGCACGAGGCATTCAAAAGTTTTTACACCCTCATCTCTAAAATTGACCTTCTATTTACGATCCCGTGCACCATCTCCAGCAACAATTTAGCGAAAAGAAGTCATTGTTTGAATATCATACAACTTGGATACATCTATCCATCGGTAGGATATCAAACATTTATTCTTTACTTGATAGATATAGAACTCAAGCAACTAACTCAGCAACTAAAACTCAAGCTCGGCACGATATTGCAATTGTAATGATATATTGATTATAATTCTCGATAGTAAATGACACTCACGTAATTTAATAGAAACAAGATAAATAGAAATCCATTTTCTTTGATTTATTTAATATGATGATTCAACAGAGGACGCATATATATTACATTTTTTAGTGTTAGTGGCATACTTGTTGAGCCTTTTAGTCCAGACTTATTCCAGAAAACGTAATTAACTATTTAATTATTTTATTCCAATTTTTTCAAGAAATTTAAAAATAAGATTCTTATCGTTACTGTACCAGTTAAACCAAGGGGGAAAAAGCGTTTTGGAATAGTATAGAATGGTACGGAATGGCCTGGAATGGCCCATTCCGCCTTTTCTCCCTTCAGCTAAACATTAACGTTTCGAGTTTCTGACGAATAATTTGTTCTATTTATGAGCTATAAGATTGTTATTTAGTCTCACAATTAGAGGTGTTAGCCGCGCTGCTGTGCCCGCTGCCGAAGTCGAAAAAACTTTTGAAATTTCACACCGCCGCCGCTATAGATGCAATTTGTTTTTGAGCCAAGATGTTTCAAGATCTTGGATTAAGAAATTTCGAGATATTGAGTGACAAATTTTATTTACATTTTATTTTTATTTATGGCAGTCGTAGCCATTGGATATACGACTATACAGAGTCATAGATTCTTCCTTCAACAACTACAGTCAAAAAGGAAAAAAATTCGAACTTATTCTAAGTGTGAAAATATTCGCACTTATAGACCGCTCGGTCCAATTCATAAAGAAACGTTTCCTGGATCTGATTTTCAATAAAACGAAGATTTTTCGATTCTCAAACAAACATTCTGATGTTGACCATTAATCTAATCTTATTTTCGCATATTCCTCTCCTTATTGAAAATAAAAGTCGTTTTGTGTAATGTTCTAGACTCATTTCCAAAATATTTATATTCGATTGTACCATCAGATGGCTACGCGTGTAACGTCAAAAAAACCAAGTAAGAACCCACGTTCACAAAATGAGTATCTGAATTCATCGGTTTTAAGGCGCCCGTAATTCAAAGTTTAAGCACTATTTTCTTTTGGATTTTAACAGACATAATCTGATAGAAGAAATCAAGCTGAATCCGAATATCACATTTATTTTGCTTTACGACCTTTCCTTGTCGATGAAAATTGCGAAA